GTGCATGCCCAAGATCCCAAGAGGAGAATGGAGGAGAAGGGATTGCTGCGTGGCTATACCCCACCCCGGGAGGGGGGCAGTGATTTCTTACTTTCTGTCTCTGTCTCTTCAGTGAGCACACATGCTCCATAGCAAAAATCTCTCTTAAAAAACAAAAACAAAACTGACTAGCTCCAGGTCACTCAGCACATGGCAGACCTGAAACTCAGTTCCAATTCTCCAGACTCCAATCTTGGATTATTGTCAATGTGCTGCAGTTGCCGACAGAAAGACTTCCCTGAGATGGACCTGATATTCCTCAGGTACTTCCCCTTCCAATCAATTAATACTTGCAAAACACTTCCTATGGGAGACACAGTGCTGATGAGGAGGATACAGCATAAAAAACGAACAAAACAGTATGCTGACTCTCGAAGGTATTAATTATAATAAAAGATCAAATACACACAGCAGACAGTCTCATTAGCCACACATTCGCACGCGTGTACACATATGCTGAAGATGCAGAAAATGGAACGTTTGGAGGAATGATTATGGGGAATTAAGAGTTAGAGTGTGTGAATGTGGGTCAGAAAAAGATGAAGAAAATCTTTTGACGGTAATACAGTATTACTGAGGTATGAAGATGTCAGATATCTTACTGGAAAGTAATCCACCAACACAAATCATCAGTGATAAATTATGTGATAAATTTGATGCAAGAGGGGCAAAGCAATCGAACACCTGACACTTCCATCTTCTGCACACCCAAAGCACTGAGAGGTGAGTAGAACAAAGAGCTATCACCTCCTCCTCCTCCCCACTGCAAATAGAGAACTAGCTACAGGACTGTCAGCAAACCCACCTCCAACGGCCACTGGCTCTGCCTAATGTTTTAAGGATCAATCACTTCAGCTGGAAAAATACAATTCCAACACCATCAGCTTTTAATATTTCATGTGTACTGCAAACAATAATTGCACCTTTTGTTATCAGGCCAACAATTAATTAGTGATACTAATACACGACAGGAGAGAAACTGATGCCCATATATCTATCAAGATTTATGAATGACTATTTCTGAATTATGAAAATTCAAACTATATATATATTATAAAATATTGCACAATTTAAATCCTTGAGTTCCTCAAATCCTTGAGGAAGGAACTCAACTTTTAAATCCTTGAGGAACCTGTCATTCTTTAATAATTATTTATAATTATGTTAATAATTTTTTTTGAGAGAGAGATTTTTGCCACAGGGTGTGCTCACTACAAAGAGACAGGTAAAGAGAGAGAGAGAAAGTGAGAGATCACTTC